CGGACCGAGGGCAGGAACCGCATTCCCACCCGTGAGCGGGTCCCACCTCCTTTGTGACCCCAAAACTGGGCTGCCCACCCTCCTCGCTGGGCTGCCACCAGCAAAAGAAACTCTGCTTTCCCCTTCCTCCCCGAGGTCCTGTTTTGACCCCCAAAAGACTTCTTCTGAAATCCCTGAGCATCCTCGCAAACCACTGTGCCAGACCTCACCCCGTCCTGCCTGCTCCTCCCCTCCCTGCCACGCTGCCTGCCCAAGCCCCCGCCACGGCCGCTCCAGGACAGGTTGCCAGGCTCCCGGAGCCCATAAATACGTGGGATGCGGCTGAGGATGTCTCCAAGGAGGCTCCTCCAGCTCGTGTCAGTGCTCAAAAGGGGCTTGATGGCTTCAGACAAGGGGCTTGATGCCTTCAGCCAGCCAAGCTGCGCTCTTCCAGTTGTCCTAACAGGAGGAAGGGGAGATACCTCCTGACCCACCTCCACCCCTTGCTCTTTTGTGGAGAGAGAAAACCTTCAATCGAGGAAGTTTTTGCTCAACGTTGAGTCCCCAGCCCATTCCCGCTGAGGTCTGGGGTGGCAGGAGGAACGTGGGGTGTGCTCAGCTGCGCTTACCAGTGTCTGCACCATATGCGGCCTCTGTAGTCTTAAACTCTTCACCGTCTGAAAGACGTCAAGAATCCCTTCTGCCTTCACCCTTTCCAGGACAGTGCTCAGCGCACAGAAGGTGCCTGTTCTTCCTGCTCCGGCACTGGCAAAGAGAAACCAGAAGGTAAAGGAAACCATCTGTCCTGACCGTGTTGGCTTTGCTCAGGGGACAATCCATAGGGGAACCACCGGAGAACGGGAGGAACCAACGGTCCTGCCCCAGCCTCTCCTAGTTTAGCTAGGACCTGCTCTACGAGATCGAAGCCTCTTTGCTTAGCCGAGCAGGAAAACCCCGTACCACGTCTGCCCGGGCTGCTCCTGCTCAGCCCAAGTCTTCTGAAGGACCTTTGACCACCTCCAAAGCTTCCTGCAGAGCAGGTCCCCTTGGAGGGGTGGCCAACCCCTGCTCCACCCGGGCTTTACCTGCAGTGCACAGTGATCGGGTGGTTGCCAGACTGCTGCTGCTGCTTCTGCACAGCCGCGATGATGTTGATCATTCCCTTCCCATCCCCGGGGATCCCAACTTCTGGCCAGCCGTGGAAATGAAACTGCCGAATCTGTCGGCTCTTGTTTTCCTGGTGGAAGAGCACAGCTCAGGGTCAGTAGGTTGGTGGGAGACCTGTACCAAGAAACCCACCAGCTCAAGGCTTTGGGAAAACCACCTGCTCAGGAAAGCTGTCCGCTTGTGGAGGGGAGGCATTCCCGTGGCACGGAGCAGGGCAGGACGCAGGGAACGGGGAGGAAGAGGGAGGTTGGGTGGTGGGCACAGGCACACGGCAGAAGGAGGACGAGGGCTGCTTGGTGGCGGCAGGGCAGAGGGGCTGGATGACAAGAGCTCAGCAGGACAAGGAACCCCCAGGGGTGGGAGGTAAGCGTAGGGAAGAAGGTGGGATTGCAGGGGACAGACACTACTTTGGGATGACGGGGAGATGATGGAGCTGAAGATGCCAGAGGGAAGGTTCAGCACTTGCAAGAGGAACCGCAAAGCACCATAAACGCCAATGGGAGTTGATGACAGCCAAACCCAAGAGGACCTAGAGCTCTCCGCAGGGAGAAGGCCAGACTCTTACCCTGGTGTTCGTTACCAGCAGGTCCCGCACCGTATAGCTCTCGCACTCCTCCTCTTTTTTCAGCTCCACAGTGATGTCTCCATAGGACACTGAGCCATCAGACGGCCAGTACTGGGCACACTTCTCCTGAGAAAGCATTACAGGAGGAGACAGGGTGAAGACCCCATACTTTTCCTGTGGGCTTGAATGGAAGGAGTCTTCTCCTGCTGCTGGCAGCTGCCCAAAGCCAAGTGGGATCTCATAGAATCACAGAATGGTTTGGGTTGGAAGGGACCTTAAAGATCATCTAGTTCCAACCCCCCAGCCGTGGGCAGGGACGTCTTCAACTAGATCAGGTTGCTCAGAGCCCCGTTCAACCTGACCCGGAATGTTTCCAGGGATGGGGCATCACCACCTCTCTGGGCAACCTGTGCCAGTGCTTCACTACCCTCACAATGAAGAATTTCTTTCTAATATCTAACCTAAATCTACCCTCTTTCAGTTTAAAACTGTTACTCCTTGTCCTATCACTATCTCATGGGCTTGCTTCGGAGATGAGATGCCCAGAGGTGCTTTGAGAACTGAGGGTCCAGAGTTGGTTTATTGAACATCTCCCCACCCTGGGTCTACCAACATCTGGATTCTTTGCACTAGAAGTAGAGGCTGAAATATGTCTCCTGCATGGCTTTGCTAAAGAAAGGGTGAAAGAGCACCCAACGCGTGCGGCACTGGCAGTGCCGTGGCCATCGGGAGATTTTAAGGGGTCACACTGATCTATTTTGCTGGTGCTCCAGTGCAGCTATCCCCGGGCGCTTACCTGGCCTCTCTCCTCCAGCTCCGTTAGCATCACTATGGAGCAGGATTTCCACTCCCAGATCATCCTCCAGAAGTCCTCTATCGTGTGCTGCAGCGGTCCTTGGCTGGCGATATAAGAGTCCTTCTGGCGATAACCCTGCAATTTGAAAACGGGGTTAGCGGTGACTCGTCAGCGCTTGGACGCCAGGAGCAGCGGGAGGAACACTCTTGGACACAGTCAGGTTACCAAGCTCAGTGAATTTTTGGGAGGATCATGACCGTCCGTGTGAGTGACCACAGCCCGGGCAGAGAAACCTGCTCTCATGGTGGGCTACGTCCCCACGCATGGGCATTACCACACTGCCGCTCGGCAGCTGAGGTACCCTCAGCCAGCGCTTTACCGTGGTAAGACCTTTGTTTTTAAAGAAATGCAGCTCGAGGAGGATCATATCCTCTACACGTGCACGGCCTTGTCCATTTGGTGAAGAAAGATTTGGGTTTCCAGCACTCCTAAGCGATGTTGCAAAGTCTGAGCACCGTAGCAGAGCCTTGCCTAAGCTCCAACTACTTCAGGTATGATTTTTACTGGGGATTTTTGGAAAAAGTAAGCAAAACCAGGTGGAACTAGATGATCTTTAAGGTCCCTTCCAACCCAAACCATACTATGATCTATGATCTATGAAAACCAGTAGTAAGTCTGGTTGACTCTGGCTCTTCCACGACCACAAAGTGCTTCTGTTTCCAAAACCCCTCCGACGTTCCCCTGTGCCCTCGCTGCAGGCTGTGACTACAGATGCTTCATTATTTGGAGCTTGTCATTTAAGCAAAGTTCAGCAGAGGCAGGAAATTGAATCCTCCACAAAAATTGCTTATGTGACATTTAAGCTTTCTGATCTCGACGCAGAACAAGGCGGCTGCTCCCAGCTGCGTTGTGTCGGATGCTCACGCAGCCAAAGCAACCCACGGGGACCCAGCAAAGGAGATTTCAGGGAGCAATTAATTTGGGATGTTGTAACTGGGAATAAGCTAGTTTTGCTGGTTCAACCCATGGCAGCAATCTCCCTTTGGGGGAAAAAAAACCCCTGCCATTAGGAGATGAAAATAGGAATTGGGCTAGAAAAGAGCAGGGCTCTGTCACTTAGCCAGCGCTGGCATCACTGCACGAAGATAAATACTCATACGAGATGTCCCCCTGAAGTCAACAGCATTACTCACGAGGAAAGGATGTGCAATCACTTACCTCCTCCTCGGAGTGAGGAAAGCACTTAACCTCTCTGCCTCATCTCCTCCCGTCACCCAGACAGGTATAATGGGATTGACCTGCTTTTTCCCAAGGGTTTTGGGATCCGTGTATTGCTCCGTTACCTAATCTAGTGGATGTTTTCTGACCAAATGAACAGTGCCGTATAGCAATCATTTCCACGGCTACGTGCATCCGCTTCTCCAAAGCCATCATCAGAGCCCAGAGTTGCAGAAGTGAGACCAGGAACTGGAGGCTCTGCTCAAGCTCCAGCTCTCCTTTCCCACCATCCGTGGGTCACAAGGAAACTGTATATACAGAGGGGTTTCTTGGAGAAAGAAACCAGCACCATCCGGTGACACGAAGCAAAGTCAAGTGGAAAGAGCCTCACAAAACCCAGAGAAGAAGTGTTTCGGGACAAATACTTTCCATGGGAAGCAGCGTGAGGTAAAGAGCTTCCATTGGGAGAAGATGGAAAGAAGATTAAAGAAGACTCACGTCAATGAAGGATGCGTTTACGTAGTCTGTGTTCTCTTCACCTCTCTTCACTGGAATGATTACTCGGTTGAATTCATCTGAAGATGAACAGAAGAGAAATGATCTGAGTTTTGGGGAACACCTTCAAAGCACGACTCCTTGATAACCATGTCCCACCTTTAGTTGGGACATCACCAAGCTCTAGGTGAGAGGACAGAGATATGGGAAGGGGAGCCCTGTGTTTACAGCACCCATTTGGGACGAGGAGACTCAGTTCTGCTTTCTGCCATGCCCTGGTTTGGGGAAGGAGAAGGGGATGCTGAGGACTGAAGGAGCAGGACCTGTTCAACACAGGGACTCCCTTCTCCCTCGAGGCAGGTGGTCTCGGCAGCATAAACCTTCTGAGAAGAAAGTCACAGCAGGGACAGGGCAGAACGAAGAAAAGCCCTGGGGGCAGCGTTACATTTGGCCATGAAGAAACACCTGCCCTTGACTCTGCCCTGTCCCTTCATGCTGTCCCTGCTTGAGCAGGGGGTTGGAGCAGACGATCTCCAGAGGTCCCTTCCAACCTCAGCCAGTCTGTGACTCCACTACTGCAGGCACAAATGCCTCCGTCTCGACAGCTCCTGAGCACTCACAGAATCACAGAGCGGTTGAGGTGGGAAGGGACCTCTGGAGGTCATCTGGTCCAACCCCCTGCTCCAGCAGGGCCACCCAGAGCTGGTTGCCCAGGACCATCTGGCTGTTGAAGATCTCCAAGGATGGAGACCCCACAACCTCCCTGGGCAACCTGTGCCAGTGCTCGGTCACCCTCGCACTCAAAAAGTGTTTCCTGATGTTCAGGGGGACCCTCCTGTGTCTCCGTTTGTGCCCGTTGCCCCTTGTCCTGTCACTGGGCACCGCTGGAAGGAGCCTGGCTCCGTCCTCTTTGCTCCCTCCCCTCAGGTACTTGTAGACATTGGTGAGACCCCCCGCAGCCTCCTCTTCTCCAGGCTGAACTCGGCTCTCTCAGCCTTTCCTCACAGCAGAGATGCTCCAGTCCCTGAATCATCTTGGTGACCCTTCGCTGGGCTCTCTCCAGTATGTCCATGTCTCTCCTGTACTGGGGAGCCCAGCGCTGGACACAGCGCTCCAGGCGTGGCCTCACCGGTGCTGAGTGGAGGGGAAGGATCACCTCCCTCGACCTGCTGGCAATGCTCTGTCTAACGCAGCCCAGGACACCGCGGGCCCTCTTTGCTGCAAGGGCACGTTGCTGGCTCAAGGTCAACCTGGTGTCCACCAGGACCCCCAGGTCCTTTCCTGCCAAGCCGCTTTCCAGCTGGGTGGCCCCCAGCCCATACTGCTGCCGGGGGTTGTTCCTCCCCAGGGGCAGGACTTTGCACTTCTCCTCGTTGAACTTCACGGGGTCCCTGTTGGCCCATTTCTCCAGCCTGACTCCTGTCCCCACAACCACCCAAGCAGTCCCCTCACCCACCGGGCATGCTTTCCCCAGGCAGACAAACAAGTCTTACATGGAATTATCTGAAGCACCCTGTTCTTCTTCATGTTTGCCGGCAAGTTGCCCGTTCTCATCTTGTCGTTCTGAATTTTGATTGAAGTGAGCTTCTGCAGAGGAAGGAACGAAAGCAGTGGCAGCTTTCAGAGTCGCCCTGCGCCAGGCAAGCGCATGGTGGTCCCCGCAGCCCAGCACCGTCCGAGTGGATGCACCAGGACAAGAACCACGCTCACCTTGAACTCCTCTTCCAGCCCGTTGCTGCTGGTCCCTGGCACTTTGTTGTAGATCTTCTGGAGGTGGATCTCTAACGAGGTCACCTCCAGCTCCGTGTCACCGTAGAGATAGTGCTCCAGAAGTGCTTGGTATATAAACACATACTGCATCTGCAAGGGTTGCAGGGAGAAGCCATCAGCCTCCGCTCCACGCTCAGCGAGCACATCCCAGTGCCCGGGCACATGCTGGCAGCAAACCCACCACCCCACTGCCCACCTGTGCTCGCTGGGCACGTGGCACCCCTCCGAGACCCCAGAAAAGTGGTTAACAACCTTTCTCCTGTTGTACGGGGACCTTATTTGCTACGTGACACAAAGCTGACATGACACAAAACTTTCTCCAAGTATGGAGAAAAGGAGGCTGAGGGGAGACCTCATCGCTCTCTACAACTACCTGAAAGGAGGTTGTAGCGAGGTGGGGGTCGGTCTCTTCTCCCAAGTAACTGGCGAAAGGACGAGAGGAAACGGCCTCAAGTTGCGCCAGGGGAGGTTTAGATTGGACGTGAGGAAAAATGTCTTTACTGCAAGAGTGGTTAAACATTGGAACAGGCTGCCCAGGGAAGTGGTGGAGTCACCATCCCTGGAGGTGTTTAAAAGACGTGTAGATGTGGCGCTTAGGGACATGGTTTAGTGGTGGACTTGGCAGTGTTCGGTTAACGGTTGGACTCGATGATCTTAAGGGTCTTTTCCAACCTAAACAATTCTATGAAGGGGATTAAAAGGAGCAGGGCCCAGCAAAAGGCTCACTTGATGCAGCATCCTTCCAAAAGGAAGGATGATACTCGACCTGCACATAGGCTTCGCTGCAGGCTGGGTACCGAAATCTAACTCCAGCGAGCAAAGCCCAGACGAGTCCGCAGCAGCACACTTACATCTGTCTGTACCATCTGGCAGCGCTGAGCCCGGATCCGGCTCACAAAGCCGTAAACGTCCACCTTCCTCTCCGCATGCATCATGTCCAGCATGGCATCGATGACGATAAAAGTGCCCGTGCGTCCTACCCCGGCGCTGAAAGAGCAGAGGGGACAAGCGGTCAGTGCAGCAGTGTTGGCGTTGGGGTCCCTTGTAGAGCGGCCGGGAGCGAGCCAGATGCTTCCCAGCAGTGAGTAAATAGCAAAATCTGTTTTGGAGATGAGAGAGGTCCTCAGCCCGGTGTTCAGTGTCGCCTGGGTTTTGCCGAGAGATGCACACAGCATCTCCAGCAACCGCTGCGACCGGAGTGCATGAAGGCACAAAGCAGGGTGAGCCAAAGCAAAACCTGAGCCAGCTACGGCTTCCAGAGTCTTATGAGCTGCCTGTTCCTACCAGCTGCCTGCTGCTCCTTCCAGTCACCCTCCATCACGTGAAGGTGAGCCCACAGGGAAGCCTTGCTTCTGTGCTGGTAACTCAACCATTAAGGAGAAGAAGAAAGATGAGGCCAGCAGACGCTATGGAAAGACAAAGCTCTTTTGTCAGCTGCCTCCTGAGAAGAAAGCTGGAAAGATGGACTTGGGACGTTGCAAATGTGATCATCATCTCTGCTTTTAACCACGGGGCTTTCCCTCATTGAAACACGGACAGCCTCTGCGACTCTCCCAGGCTTGCTGTTGTGCCTGAAACCACTCCACGTGAGGTCAAACACCGTGGTCCCCGCTCCCAGGCATGCTGTCAGCTGAGTACTGCCTTCCCACAACAGGAGATGTTGCCCTCTCGTGCCCAGGGCAGTGGAGAGCCAAGGGAGATGCCACCAATGCCCAGCAGTGGTGCTTAGCTTGGCTCACTTGGCATCCAGCTCAACCCAAACGACCACTCAACACGAGTTGTAACACCATCACGTTGCTGATTCCAAGAAGTTCCTTCAATTCACATGCATTTTTTTGAATGTTCCCATGTGGAACATTCCCATTTAACATGGGAAAATTAAATAAAAATAATAAAAAAGGCCTGACTGGAAAAAATCCTTTTAGTATTAAATAGGAGGTGCTTTCCAAGTGACCCAGGAGAGGCAGAGGTCAGCCGTGACCAGGACGTACCTGCAGTGCACTACTATTGCTCCTGCGTATTGGGGATTACACGTCTTCACCTTCTTCAAGAACTTCAGCATCCCGATGGGGGTGAAGGGGACCCCGAAGTCAGGCCAGCTGGTGAAGTGGAACTGAGTCACCAGACGCTGAGGCTTCTTGTTCGTGACGTCGCCGACCTGAAGGGGAAACGTGTATTCAGATTAATGATAAATACTCAATTTCCCATCTTTCCCCAAAAGCAAGGGCAGAGGGGGAGCTACAGCCCCAAGGCTGAGCTGGAAGGCTTAAGCAGCACTAGCATCCACAAGCCAAAAGGGCACGGACCCAGGCTCCGGGGCCAAATTAGTCTCTAAAAGCATGGCATTTTAATCACCCAGCATCACATCCCGCATCCTAGGGGTGAGAGATGCTAGCCCAGCCTCGGCTGTGGCTCCGACCTGGCAGAAGCTGCTGTATTTCGTTCCCAGCGAGCTCAAAAAGAAGCTGCTGCTCTATCCTTTCCCACACCTCTGCCCACAGCATCCTCCTATTAAACCACCCACGTCCAGGCCATCAGAGTGAAGGGTGAGGCTCAGGAGAACCCCACTCAGGGTCCAGACAGGTTTTCAATCGCCAGCTCTTCCTTGCCTGTCTCCGAGAGCAGCAGGAAAACAAACAGAGCGACTAAAGCATCCAGACCCTCCTTGGAGGACGAGAAAACATAGCGACAGATGGGAAAGCAATCAAAACCAACGCATACGGCGCTGGATTTTGTCTCAGCTCGTGGGACAAATCTGATTATTTGCAGGTATTAAGTATCTGTGGGTGAGAGCAGGAACCGATACTGGTAACAGCAAGTGCTGGAGTATTACAGGACTGAATTTCAGCCTTGGCATCCATCAGCTTCCCTGCTCTCAGTGCAGCCACGCTGGTACCCACTGGGAACGGGCTCCCAGGTGTTTAAGGTGAGTAAATTCTTAATAGCTCTGGTTAAAAGTGGATGCTGGGGTCAGTTCATCCCAACTCTGCTCTCACGGCACCTCAGAGGAGTTGAGGAGCACGCCAGCGCCTGTTGGATGTCCAGCACGGAGAGGGGAGGGATGGGATGGGATGGGATGGGATGGGATGGGATGGGATGGGATGGGATGGGAAACACGAGCCCTGGCACCTGCTGGATGCAGAACTTCCGCACGGTGTAATCCACCAGGACGGTCACGTCCTCCACGGACACTCGGATGTTCCCGTACGTCCAGCAGCCCTGATCCGGCCAGTACTGAGCACACTTACACTGCAGGGAGAGAAAACAGGTGCAGATGAGCTCCGGTCCCTTGCAAGCCTGGGACCGGCTCCAAGACATGCCCATGGGCATGAGATGTGCCGGACTTGGACGAAGTTGGGTTCGATACCAGCCCATGAAGCCTTCTGGCACCTACCTCCTTCCTCTCTTTCAGGTTGGTCACCATGACAATTGTTGCTGTGTTTTGCTCCCAAATCATCCTCCAAAAATCGTTCACGGTTTCTTCCTTTGGTCCTAAGGGGAAGGTAAAAAGAAATGTGGTCTTTGGGATCAACCCCTCAAGCACCGAGACCGAAACCCAGTCTGTGAAGTCACACGTCGTGGATGATGCCACACATTTTTTGCCAATAGATGTCAGCACAGGAGGTGTTTTGGTGTCTGGGAATGTCGGCTAACCCAAGGAACAATCCTATCACACAAGAGCTTGGCTTTTTTGGATACATTTTATGATGAGGAATTCCATTTTCTGCCCAAAAAGGGGAAATCGGACAAATGGAGCATGGAAACGACTGGCCCAAGTTCACCCAGGGAAGCTGTGGCCGTCACAAGTAGCTCGCAGAAGTCCTGTCCCTGAGCCTTGTGCTTTAACCACGGGATCCCACTTCAATATAGCACAAGAATAGTTACCTGCCGCCTGCCAGACAAGGAGCTGACTCAGCCTAGACCTCCCCTGCCAAGCCCGAGGCTAAGGGCGAGCCAAGAGAATAGCAGAGCCAAAGCTTTACCCCAGCCTGGTATCGCTGACGGACCTGATCCAGCCTTCCTTTTCCAGCAAGAGCCAGGCAAACTGGCAGGTGATATCCTAACCCACTTGCAAGTCAAGAGCGGAAATGCAAAACACCTCCCACGGGCAGGTAACCCCCTTTTGCTGACAGGAACCCCCCTGCGAGTGGGCATCTTGGTTTTAGGGACACGTTTGGAGCGGTGCAAAGAAAGCAAGAGAGCCGGAGGGCTACGGATGGGGCATGCAAGCCGGTGATGCATTGGCTGGGGGCAACTGAGCTTGGGAAGACTCGTGATGCCTGTTGCTCTCAATAGCTAAATAGTGCTGCCTTCCTTCTGAAGACCACAGTGAAATTTCTCTCCAAGGGCACAAGCCTTGGGTGGTGAAACACTGTCCCAGGTTGCCCAGAGAGGTGGTGGATGCCCCATCCCTGGAAACGTTCAAGGTCAGGTTGGACGGGGCTCTGAGCAACCTGATCTAGTTGAAGATGTCCCTGCCCACGGCAGGGGGGTTGGAGTAGATGGCCTTGAGAGGTCCCTTCCAACCCAAACTAGTCTATGATTCTATGATTCTAAGCCTACGTTATTGTCTGCTGAGGTTTAAAAAGGAGCAGAAATGAAACCAGATCAGCATGGTGCTCTCCGTAATAACAGATCTGGGGAATTTAACTAAGCAGCTCACTGGCAATATTTCCAGAGATACCAACCACCTGCATCTGTGGGCCAGGGTGGAAGGACAAGGCTCAGGGCAGAAACGCTTGGACACCCTCCAGCAATTGGTATTGCACAGGCAGGGCTTCTCTTCCTCCCCCAACACATCCAGCACTGGCCTTTCACTGGGAAAACCATTTTGGGAACAAACTGTGGATCAGCCAAGCCTCCTTTTGACCAGGGAAGCTTTGCCAGGCGCTGTGCGGTGGGTAGACTGGCACAGCTTTGCAGAGCAGAAGGACCCCAGCCCGACCGCGACCAGACAGAGCTACAGGAATAACCGAGCGTTTACCTTGTGCAGCAATGAACTTGTTTTTCTCTTGGTACCCCTACAGAGAAAAGGAAAACAAATGAAAGACCTGTATTTTTCTAACACAAGAGTCATGAAGTGCAGCTACATCATTAATAAACAGAGACACCACCTGCTCTGTTGCTCACTCCCCCCTGTGCAGAGAAGGGGCTGCAGCCTCCGAGGGGAGAAACAGCTCCAACAGTGGGGCAGAAATAATGGAAAACCCCTGTGCAAAGGGCCCTTGCCTCAGAGCAACACTCCCCGCGCTCACGTAATGCAGGAACGACCCCGCTTGTTGGCACAAAGCACTAATGAAGTGGTACCCGACAGCCGTTCTGCTGGGATCAGACCCTGCATCCAGAGCATCACGTGAAAATCAGCATTAATCTCTGGAAGATGGGGCTGTCGAACTCATGGGGATTGATTTTGGGTATTTCCTAATGGATATTTATTTATTGGTGAAGAAAGGAAAAAGCTCTTTTGGGTCTTGCTTCTCTTCACGTGCCTCCATCTCTCTCAAAGTCTACTTCTTCACATTACCCTTCCAATTTATTTGAGCTCTATGGTGATAACCAGATAGGAACCATCTCCTCCTAGAAGCAGAGCAGGGCAATGTTGCTTCTATTTTAGCTGGGTTTCTTGATTTCTTTTTTATTCCCCTTCCCGTGTCCAGGCCTGCAAGCTGGGAAGTACCGATGATTAACCACCCACACCACTCATCAGTCATTAATCTGAAATCCCCAATTCCTGCAGGAATGGTTCCCAAAGCCCTTCCAAACCAGCCGGCTCGGATTTGCAGCACCCCAAGGGAGTGCAAGTGCTTCTCATTATTTTAGAAGCGGGGAAAAGAGAGGTGGGAAGAGATGGGACTATGGCAAAGCAGCTGAGCAAGGGCAGAGCTACAGCTAGAATTTGAGTTCCAGCTCTCAGCCTCTTCCTCCAACCACGTTTGCCTGGGCTCAAGGCGCGGAGCAAAGCACAGTGAGCTCTACTACGGCCACACAAAGGTTATGAGATCAAAACCCAGCCTAATTTATTGCTCCAGAGGAGCTGGGGAGATGTTAACGTAGGAGGTAGTCTCTTAACCATCCTCTCCCAGGCACAAGTCACACCCCATAAAGACCCCACGCTCCTGGTGGGACCCCGCACCGCCGGCCGGGGCGCAGCTGGTGGGGATTTCCCCTTCAAATCACAAAACTCACATTAATGAAGGAGGCGTTGATGTAGTCGGAGTCAGGAACTCCCTCGACAGGAGTCAGGTGAACCCTGGAATGATCATCTGGAGGAAAATTAAAACTTTGCATTAAAAACAACTCCCTCCATGTAGCTGATATCTGGCGTAGCGAGAAAGCCGGGTGTTGGAGTGGAGCCCAGTCTCGCTGGCTCCCCTGCACACACAAACACCTTTGTGCCCCCAAATTCTTCTTGCTTAAGCCTGGAGAGGTGCTAGACCTTGCCCAAGGAGGTTTTTCTTCGGCAGAGTGCACACATTTGAGGAAGCCCCCGAGGCAGCCCGCCGCCCCGCGCCGCCCAGCGAGAGCTGGCCATTTCGGCATTTCCCATCCATTTAATTTTCCATGGCCTCCCGGCCGCTGACGGCTCCAGGGAGCTCCTCCTAGTAGGTATCTAAAGCTAAAGCAGATGCAGCCACCCATCTGGGAGGCGAAATGAGCTCAACCATGTCCTTGCCCATCCCAAAAACAGGAACAGGGAGCCCTGGCAGCAGCACCATCTGTGTCCTCCCCCCTGGCCCCAACATGCTTTGATACCTACAGGGCAAAATGTTCACGTATCTGTTCTTCTCCTTGTTCTCCTCCTTGGAAGCAGCTTCACACGTGGCCTGTATGGGACACGCTGGGAGAGCCTGCAATGGCAGAAAAGGGCGTTTTCCATGATGTTCTTACTCACGGCACAGCAGTAACCACAACGCAACCGGCACATCGGCGCACGCCGCATCCGAGCATCCCATCGGAGGGTGGTCGCCCTTTGCTGGCCTCCAGGAGGTAGGTGAGCAGCAACCCCTTGTCCACCTGCCCCTTCGGACGTGTCCCCACCACCCACACCCCTCGCCTCCACCCCAGCACCAGCTCCTCATCCCCACCGAGCTGAAGGAGACCATTTAAATAGCCTGGGCTGGACCAGAGAGAGCAAATCCTTTCCGAAACGTGATATCTGGAATCTCAGGACCCACGAACACGAGGTGGCAGCAAAGCCTCCGACACCAAACCCGCCAGCCCAGGGATCAATGAGCTCATTTCTGCCCACAGAGGCTCCTGCTGAGATTTCCTCTCTTAACGGTGATGCTAACCCGATTAACCCCCCTGTGACAAGCCCCCATCGCCCGAGCACACCCAGCGATGGGAAGGAGCACCCATGCAGGGAGTTATTCTCCATCCAGCGGCACTGGGGACCTGCGGGTTGGGGGGGTGCTGGGGTCGAAGGCGATGCTGTGCCGGTCACAGCAGCCGGGTTTCACGCTCGAGCAGAGGAGGTGCTTCCCCAGCACCGTTATTCCGCATCCTCTTTGAATAGCGAAGGGGATGAGAAGGTATGGGAGGGATTCACCATCCCTTCCAGCTGACAGGACAGACGTGCTTTGGCAACGGAAGCCTTCAAGGCAATCGAGTATTTATAACCTGACCCCCCCCTCCCCGGGCATTCATTGCACCTATTTAGTTTCATCGAAGCATGGCCAGGAAGGGTATCAAGTTGTGCAACAGCTGGAGGAAGTCGAGTGGCTTTTTTTTATCTTCTCATCGTCCTCATATTGCCATATCACGCCTTGGACCTAAGGTTTTATGTATTTGCAGGTGACGCCTTTGCAGTGCAGACAACCAGATCAACAGTGGATTTTCTTTCTTTAATTAGGCTGATGGAGAGTCCCGATAGTTCACCATCTCCTACGTTACATGCTGTGATACTCCAGCCAGTTATTTAACTTTGTCCCCTACCTCATTACTCCTCTGCCCGTTTTTGTATTGCCAAGGTGAAACAGGTTTATCGTCACAAGAAGTTGCAGAGCTCAGCAACGTCAGGGAGAGGTTGTAGCCATCTCCGAAGAGACGCTCCAGCATCGTGGGATAACCACAATACCTGAATTATTACTCACTGTTGAAGGCCAACTGTTGTCCTATGAATTGCCATCATTCTGTTTCAGGGTTAACAGCTCATTGAAACAGAAGGGGCAATTTCCATTTCTCTGTCAGAGCTCTTGCTTTGGCTGTTTGTGGATTTAAGCCGTGAGGATTGGGAGGAGGGAGGCAGCGCCTGGGAGGAAAGCAGCAGGCAGGGAAGCTCTGGAAGACCCCCAGACATCCAGGACACTTCCTGAACCCAGAAAAATGCAACCCCGTAGTGCCGCTTGCCAGAAAACCTCTGCTTTCTGTAGTGAATGTGAGGGGTAGCGGCTCACCCACCATCACAGCAGTTTTAGGACCAAAATCAGTCCTCCCACCTTGCAGCCCTTTGAGAAACCCCTGAGGACGGGGCAGACCATCATTCCCTCCATAAAGCTACCAGGTACGCTCTTCCGAAGCACGGCATCCAGCACCGGCACCGTTATTTCATTGACTCAATTACCCCCTGGGTTGATGTGCCGTCCCCAAGCTAGGTACCACTGCACACTGCAGCTCCTCCCTGACGTACCAGCTGTTTTGTCCCTGCTCTACAAAGTGAGACCAGATTTTCCCCCGCTGTGCATCATAAGCCCGACGCTGAGAGCAGCCTGCGGGATTTAAGGGCAAGAAGCAAAGGAACTCACGTTGAACTCCTCCCGAAAGAGCTTGTTGTCATCTGCCATCCGGCGGTTGATCTCCTCTTCCAGCTTATCGACGGGCAGAGGAGGATATTTACGGTTGGTGCTGGGGGAGCGGGCGAGCAGTGGCATGCTCTGAGGCTCTGCAATGACACGCATGCATCAGAGGCGCCCACCCAGCCGCCCCCCCGTGCCCAGCACTCATCCATGCCCAGGTGGGCACAGGGACCTCACACACTCGGGGCTGTCCACTTTTAGGGCCACCTCGCATCCTCACTGTCCCATATTTTTGTAGAATCATGGCATGGTTTGGGTTGGTAGCAACCTTAAAGATCATCTAGTTCCAACCACCCTTTCATGGGCAGGGACACCTTCCACTAGACCAGGTTGCTCAAAGCCCCATCCAACCTCGCCTTGAACGCTTCCTGGCCTTTTGTTCTTCCTACGGAGAGTGCACAAAAATTTGGGGATGCTACAATAAGCGAAACTCTTTCAGCACCCTGTGGCTGAGTGTTACACTGTTGTAGAGGCAGGATAGGGCGATGAGGACCAAGTCTAACAGCCCCATGCAGCGCTACAGGCTTGGGGAAGAGTGGCTGGAAAGCCGCCTGGCGGAAAAGGACCTGGGGGTGCTGGTCGACAGCCGGCTGAACATGAGCCGGCAGTGTGCCCAGGCGGCCAAG